GAGGAGGAGGAGGAGGAGGAAGAGGAGGAGGAGGAGGAGGCAAGCAGGGTGTTTCTTGGCATGGGCCCCACTGCAACGCTCGGGTTGCCAGAGGGACCCTCCGCACCCCCGGCGCGCCGGGGGGGCCGCCGCAGAACCGACGAGGGGCCGAGAGCCCGCGAGCCCGCCCCCCCCCCCCCCCACTGGCGGACGGCAGCCGCGCAAAGTAGCCCGGCAAAGGACCCAACCGTAAGCAGTTGTGGATACCGCGTTCTGGGTACATCGTTCGACGGGCCTCCCCGTGGGGCCACGAGCCACGCGAGGGGTGCGCCGAAAGGGGCGGGGAACCGCACGCGAACTTTGCCACGGGGCCTTCGGCGGAGCTCCCCGTGGGGCCGCGGACCGTCGAAGGGGTGTGCCGAAGTGGGCGGGGAACCGCATGCGAGCCCTGCCACCAGGGTTTTCGGTGGAGCTCCTGAGTGGTGCGCAGAAACGAGCGATGATGATGATGATGATGATGATGATGATGATGATGATGATGATGATGATGATGATGATGATGATGATGATGATGATGGTGGTGGTGATGATGATGATGATGATGGTGATGCTGATGAGGATGAAGATGACGATGATGATGATGATGATGACGATGATGATGATGATGATGATGAGGATGATAATGAGGATGGGGTTGATGTTGCGGTGGTTGATTATGATGATGGTGATGATGATGAGGATAATGAGGATGATTATGAGGATGATGATGATGAGGATGATGATGATGACGATACTGGTTGTGGTAATGATGATGAGGATGATGAGGATGATGAGGATGACGATAAGCAGGAGGATGATAATGATGAGGATGGTGATGGCGATCGTGGTGGTGATGATGATGAGGATGAGGTTGATGTTGATGTTGAGGTGGTTGATGATGCTGCTGCGGATGATGATGATGATGATGATGATGCTGATGATGGTGATGATGTTGATGCTGATGCGGATGTTGATGCTGATGCTGATGATGCTGATGATGGTGATGATGATGATGATGCTGCTGCTGCTGATGATGATGATGATGAGGGAAGGAGGCAGGGGACAGCGGAAAAAGGAGGAGTGACGCGTGGCGCTGTCTCGTCAAAACGAGGACCCAACACCACAGGATGGTTGGGAAACATCGTCGCGCTGCCACCAGCGATGGGCCGATTGTCCACCACCGCTGCCAGATGTAGGAGAGAGAGGGGGGAGGAGGAGGAGGAGGAGGAGGAGGAGGAGGAGGCAGGAGGAGGAGGAGGAGGAGGAGGAGGAGGAGGAGGAGGAGGAGGAGAGGAGGAGGAGGTGGAGGAGGAGGAGGAGGAGGAGGAGGAGGAGAGGAGGAGGAGGAGGAGGAGGAGGAGGAGGAAAGGGAGGAGGGAGGGAGGGAGGAGGGGGGGGAGGGAGGGAGGAAGGGAGGGAGGGAGGGAGGGAGGAGGAGGAGGAGGAGGAGCGAGCGTCCGAAAAGAAGAAAAGTCAATGTCTGTTGCAATCTACTCAGACACGCCACCCCGCAGAGGAGTAAGAAGCGACACGGCGGCGGGCGAAGCCCCAAAAATAGGAGCGCATGCGCGGGAGGCCCCCGAGGCAGGCGGGGACAGGGTAGGCGCACGCGAGGAAGCGGAAGGCGCTGGACAGCACCTCGAAAAAGGCGGGAAACGCCTCGAAGTCGAACTCGTACTAGGTGTCGGTGGGGCAGAGGTAGCGCTCCGCAGGGTTGCGCATCGCGTCGGCCATCGGGCTGGCCCAGCTAATACATCCGCCAGGACGGCGAGTGAGGTACGGCAGCGGCGCAGTTGGAAAAGGTCCGTATGTCGTAAGAAAGGCGCGCCCGGAACCGACCAATCGTCAGCGTCAGGGTCGGTACGGCCACGAAGGGAATCGGAACCACCGCGAGGAAGCGCATCGTGGATAGGTAGATCAAGCGGGGCGTCGCACCAACAGAGAAGTACATCAGGAGACTGGTCTTCAGCATGTTGCGGGTCAGCAGGTGGTGCAAGCGAGTGGACCGACTGTCCCCAGAATTCAGTACCCACCATCGCGTGAACCTGAGGGGCACTGTGTCCAGCAGCACGGGCGTGCCACAGTGTCGCCACCAATGGCGGAGTGTCCGCATATTCCTGGAAATGACGGCAAAGACGAGCATGTTCATCAGCAGTCGCACCGTCGGAAACCTCCGAAATATGTGAATGATTGCACCCCTTTCCGCAAGAACAGCGAGGAAAGAAACGGCATGCAGGACGCGTCGAAATCCTCGGGCCCTCCTCACGAACCTCCAAGCAGTAGAAAGCGACAGCCAGAGATGGCGCAGGAGCGCCCTGAAAATTTGCATTGGCACGGTTAACTAGATCGGGATCCAGCACGTCTCCACCCGCAGCTGTCGCATCGGCAGGAGCTCGATCCACAGCAGCAGCATGAGGGTCCACGTCAGGTGGTATGAGTACCAGGAGCGCCACGCGCGGCAGCAGCAGCAAGGCGAGGTGGGAGAGCACCACCGCGTTGAGCACTATCTGGAGCTTGCGGCGCGCCAGGGAATGCCTCTGCAGAACCAGCGTGAACACCAGGGAGAGCATCGGGTAGCACGTCCTCGTGAACATCAAATTCGCTCGCATGGGCCTCCTCATCCAAATCACGGAAAGGAGCACCCGCGCACCAGAGAACGCCCTCAGCGTGAGGTGCCGCGCTCACCACGCTTTTCTCCTCGAGCCTCCGCAGCTCGAATTCCTTATCGATGTTCCAGTCGGAGGGGTCGTCACACCGGCGACGAAGCAGGAACGCACACACCAGGCGACGAACATGAGGGTGGAGAAGACGAACATTTATCCACCTGCAGCTCGGCGATGAACGAGGCCACCTGCGGGATGTCAGAGTCAAAGCACGTTGCGATCGGGAAGACCACAGGCTGGTTGAAAGAGGCGAACATCGACTGCATACCGATCGAGGAAGCACAAAACATGTGCGACACAGCCCCTATACATTGGGCGGCGATGACAGACGAAAGTTCGTAGGGAGGGCGAACACGCAGGAATCAGCACGTCCAAACAGAGCGCCTCACGAGGAGGCGGAGCAGGCGGCGGGACCACAGCAGCCTCCACCTCTTCCCCAACATGAGCACGCGGCACCTGCACAGGGGGCACATGATGCTTGGCCCTGCCAGCACGAACGTGAGCACGAATATGAACGGCCGTCACATCAAACCCACACGATCACGCGCAAGAAGAGCGGCCTGACGGAGCCCATGAGAACGTACTCCGTTACCGGCTTGAAGATGGGCGTGTAGAACAAGACCTTGGCACATGCACTTCGCATTATCATACAGTTCAGCAGGTACAGCGATGAAGCGATGACCAGCAGGCGGGACATGCAGAAAGCCAAGACGACGAGCCCGACGAGCCCGAGCGTCACGAGCATCCGCAGAACGCTGATGAACCATTTCAGCTGCGCAGAGACATGCACGCCAGCAGGCATCGACGTGCAGCGGGGACAAGGGCGCGTCTGGGGCCCCGACCTAGCATGGACTTGAGCCAAAATGGCTACGGAAGAGGAGGAGGAGGAGGTGGAGGAGGAGAGGGAGGGAGGAGGAGGAGACGCAGGAGGAGGAGGAGGAGGAGGAGGAGGAGGAAGGAGCAAAGGAGGAGGAGGAGGAGGAGGAGGAGGAGGAGGAGGAGGAGGAGGAGGAGGAGGAGGAGGAGAACGAGGAGGACCTCCCCACCCTCCCTTCCCCCCCCCGTCCTGCAAATGATAGTGGCGGCGGTGGAGAATGGACCCTTCCACCAGGGCGCGCCGACCGGGGGAGGACGGAGGGGGCTCCTCTGGCCACCGCGGGCCTCGGCCACGAAGGGGCTCCCGCAGCCGTGGAGCCGGGGAGCGGCCCGGACTCCCAGGGGCCCCTCCTCGGAGCCCAGCGGAGGCCCCTTGCGGGCAAGATTTATATCCATATCCAGTACGCCTTCGATTTTTTTGGAAGGGGCGCCACAAGGCCGAGGTGCACTGGACATGGATAAAAATCGAGCCTCTAGGGGGCAAATTTATCCATATCCAGTGCGCCTCGGGTTTCTGGGGAAGGGAGCCCGGAACTCCACACTGCAGTGGATATGGACATAAGTACTGCTCGCACCCCTGCCTGTGGAGCAGGGCTGGACCTAAGCAGTGCTCTTCGCTCGGGTTTCGCATTGCTTTTTGTCCCGTTTTGCTCTACCTGGCCTCCTGTGCCTCCCGGCCAAAGCGAAACACCAGGCACAGCCGGAGTCCAGCAAAACAACACCTGGGCCCAGCCCTTCTGTGGAGTACGACCCCCTCGACACAACAACATACTGCACACTGCACACTGCGCACCTTGGAGTACGAACCCTGGACGCAACGACTGCAGCGCATTCGCCGTGCAACACAACCAGCTCCCACGGACTGCTGAGTTGGACACCCCCTCGCACATGACCCCTGGTATTGCGCGGTACACTGGCCAAGATCCCCAGGATGGGCCTGTCCACCACAATTGCTGCTTACCAACGTCCCGTGTTTGGTTGACTTATTGTTTACTGTGTTTTAACAGGGGAAGCCAAAAGGCACCGATACCACTAATCCCCGGACCTCTCCCGGGGTGCGTTCTGAACCGGATTTCGAGGCGAATCCAGCGGTGGCGACGAGGTCCTCCCAGGAGGCCCGAAAAGGAGAAACGAGGGAAGTGGGTAGAGGTATTGGTACCTTTTGCTCCACCGATTTTACTGGCTTTCGCAGCATGCCAGCGAACGTTGCTTACTCACTGCAAAAAAGCCCTTGCTTTCCCTTGCAGGAATCCCCCCGCCTCCTGCTCCCGTCCAGGGAGCCTGCCGCACCGCACGCCCCTGCGCGGCCACTCGAGCCTTCAGGGTGCGCCCACTCCTCCTCCTCCTCCTCCTCCTCCTCCTCCTTCTCCTCCTCCTCCTCCTCCTCCTCCTCCTCCTCCTCCTCCTCCTGTTCTCCTCCGAGCTTCGGCTCCGGCATCGGCCTCAGCCGTGATGCACTCTGGAACGCCTTCGAGCCAGCTCGCCGGAGCGGGCTCTCCTCTCGCACGGGCGCCTCACCCGTCCCATCCTCAGCACGGGGGCCTCGACCTCGACGCTGATGCCGAGCTGTACCCTTATATTCGCCTTCAGGAGCACGCAGTACTCGTCGTCCCGGATGCGTTCTCTCACCTCGGGCTCGCCCCAATGACATGGAGCAGCTGTCGGAGCAGGTTTCTGCGATGGGAGACCGCGGTGTCTTTGTTCTCGCCCTCCTTCTCTTCCTCCTGCTCCTCCTCCTCCTTGCTCTCCTCCTCCTCATCCTCTTCCTCCTTCCGCCTCACCACCCTCACCCCCCCCCCCCTAGGCCTCCCTTCGGAATCCGCCACCGTGCAGCCAGGCACTCAGTCGACACCCAATCGAGCTGTGTCGAGGCCAGGGCCCAGAGGCCCCCAAAGACGGAGGCCAGAGAGTCCCGAGGCGGCCCCAGAGGGTCCCCAGAGTGCCCCATGACGACCCAAGAGAACCCCGAGTCGGGCCAAGAGGGCCCCAAGACGGCCCAAAACAATGCCAAGACTGCCCAAGAGGTGCTCAAGACGCCGAAACAGGACCCCCCAGAGTGACCTCAACAGCTTACAAACATGTGTTTTCCATAGGCTGTGTGGTTCTGCATGCATACATATATGCGCCTGCCCACACATACAAATATACACATGACATGTGTATACATTCACATGTTCCCCGAACGGTACTTTTCTTGTAGGAAGCTGGGCATGCCTGACGGCCTGGTGACTTGCTGCTCGCCGTCGCCACCCCGTCGCCGCCTCGTCGCCGCCCGTCGTCTGGGCCTGGGTGGCGGACTAGCGGCTGTGTGCTCGCCGTCGCCGCACCTTCGCCGCTTCGTCGCATAGATTGCTCAACACGGATTGCACCACACACGTTGTGCACCACCCCAAAACAATGTCCCCAACACGATACGAAGTGCAACCTGTATTGTCCAATGTATGTGGTGCAACCGTGCGGTGCAATGTACATGATGCAACGTATGTTGTGCAACCCGTGATGACCCGCGTATGCTGAGCAAGCTCTTGGTGTTCGATCTCTGGTGCAATGTGTGATGTGCAACTTGTCGTGTGCTACCCATCGTGTGCAATTTTCGGCGTGCGATATTGGTGATGCAACAGGTATGCGTGTATAGATACATGTGTATTGTGATGTATGTGGTGCAACCCATGTTGATGCAACGCATGTGAAACCAACTGCGTGATGAAATGTCGGCGATGCAATGTCCGTGGTAGAATGTACTGTGTAGTCTATGATGTACAAGCTGTGCGGTGCAATCGGTATGGTGCGGGTTGCGAATTAAAATGTATGTGGCCGATCTGCGTTGTGCAAAAGTTGTGGCGCAACCTATGGTGTGCCATTCATTTCTGTCCACCGTGAGGTGTCAACTCCAATGCTCGCGCAATCGCCCAACCCACCCACTCGCAATTTGGCTTGCAACACCCATGCGGCAACGATTGGGCTGAATGCTTGGTGTTGGCTGGATATGTGCGGCCGCGATAGCCCGCGCATGCTCGCGCGCGCAGCGACCAACTAGGTTGTCGCGACTGGCGCGGTCGCGGTGGCGCTGACCGCTGGGCGCATCCCAACGGACACTTCAGTGCGAGAAGGCGAATTGGGCGAACGCGGTGTCATGGCAAAGTTGGCAAAGACGACGCGGTAACCACGGTGATGGTAGAAGCCGCGCGAATGACGAAGATGACAGCGGCGACGGCGCGGCGGCTGTGGCGGCGCCGACGCTGACCACGCCGGCGACGATGACGCCGTCCTCGCGACGGTGGCGGGGGTCTTGGACAGAGTTTGATATGTGCGCGCGGCCGACGCGCGCGAGTGGCCCGCATAGTATTATTATATACGGATCGTGCCTCCCCAGCACGCGCGCAACGGCTTTTGAAGGATTTCGGCATGCGGCGCGAGAGGCCCGTGTGGCAGAATACCATGGACAAGTCGTGCTACGCATGGTTCCCTTGAGAATCCGCAACTGCGCGAACGCAAGTTGTTTTGGTAAAAAACGGATGCTGCGAAACCGCGTGTGCTGATGTGTTCGGGACACTCGGCTTTGAAACCCTTACGAAACCCTAGGTTGTTTGACGGATTGCGGCATGCGCGCGCGACGACGCGCGCGCACGCATTTCGTCCCATGCTGTTGCAAAACAGTTCTTGCGACAGCACGCGCGCAAGGGCGCTCGAACGATATCGACATGCGCCCGCGCGAAGCTGTTTTGGTCGAGCGTTACGAAAACACCGCTGGTTTCCATCAGAATTTGCAAGAGTGCGGGCGCAGGTTGTTTGCAAATCCGTCTTGCGCCCTCCTGAACCTAATGTTTGTTAGATATAATTCTTCGTGAACCAAAACAAACCGGCATGCGCGCGACGACGCGCGCGTGCGCACTTTGTTCTGTGTTGTGCAAAACCGAATGTCTGTGATGAGCGAATGCGAATACAATATATGTTGCAGGGCAAGACGGGGGGAGTCGATACCAGCCTGGCTGGGATAGTACGAACTCGCACTTAGGATGGACGGTGGGGAAAAAACAATATGCAAATCGCAAAACGAATTAGGGGTACGGAAATCCTGAGGGGAAATAACACGCCTTTGAAAAAATGGGAATTCACCCTGCTGAGCGTGAAGTTGTCCATCCCACTGCTCGCGCAATCATCCCACTCACCCACCCACGACTTGGTTTGCAAAACCCACGCAATGGCGATTGCGATGAAAGATGGCGTGGGCTGGTGCATCTCTGCGGCCGCGATAGCCCGCGCATGCGCGCGCAGCGTTCAGCTAATTTGGCGCGGCCGACGCGGCCGCTATGGCACTTCCCAACTGGCTATCCAGTTCGAGTCGGCGAATTGGGCGGGAGCGGTATCATGGCAACGCCGACAAAGGTAGACACGAAGATGGTGATATCGATGCTGGAAACGATTTTGACAACGACGACGGCAAGGCGAATGACGGCGCCGATGATGATCACGCCGACGACAATGACCGCGTACTCGCGTCGGTGATGAAGGTTTTGGAAGGAGTTCGACATGCGCGGGCGGCCGACTCGCGCATGGAACTATTCCACACGGACCGTGTCCTCCCAATCACGCGCGCAAGGGCGTTCGAATGATTTGCACACGCGCGCGCGCGGGAGGCCCGTTGGCGGGATGTAATGGAATTGGTGAAACAACTTACGGTGTCTGTGTGAATTCGCAGGAGCGCCAGCGCAAGTTTTTTCAGAATGCAAAGCCAATGTTGCAAAACAAACATGTTTGTTATAGGTTTCGGGCACTCGACATTGAATCCCCGCGAAACAAAAGGTTTCTTGCAGGATGTCCGCAGGTAGCGCGTGCGACGACGCGCGCGTGTGCACTTCGTCTCATTTGTTGATAGGGTTTCTTTCGACACCACGCGCGCAAGTGCGTTCGAACGATTGAGGCACGCGCGCGCGAGAGGCACTCTTGGTACTAGTTGATCACAATTCTTGTAAAAAAACTGAATTCTTGAGAATACGCAAGAGCGCGAGCTCAAGTTTGATTTGGAAGTTCGGGTTGGGAAACCATGTGATTTTACATGTTTTCGGGACATTCGATTTTGAAAGCCTCACTCAACCTCAACTTTGGGAAGGATTCTGGCATGCGCGCGCGACGACGCGCGCAGGTGGTCTTCGTCCGATGTTTAGCCAAGTGCTCTTGGCAACCTCTGACTCTTGACAGATCCGTGTGCGCGCATTGTCTTTTGCAAAGGAGGGAGGTCGATACCGGCCTGCCTGGAATGGGGGGGAGGCTGGGGAAACCAAAAGGCACCGATACCGCTACTCCCAAACTTCTCCTGGGGCGCGTTCTGACCAGGATTTCGAGGCGAATCCAGCGGTGGCGACGAGATCCTCCCAGGGGGCTCAAAAAATGGGAAAACGAGGGAAGGGTAGAGGTATGGGTACCTGTTCCTCCTCCGGTAGGCGGGGTAGACTCGAGTATCCATTTAGAGAGGAGAGTCGAGGCGTCGACGGGATGGGCGGCGACGACGCCGCGGCGGCGGCCGCATAGCCGCTGGTGGACCGAAGACGCGGCCCAGACGACGGGCGGCGGCGAAGCGCCGGGCGGGGCGGCGAGGGCGGCCACATGGCCGCCAGACCGAAGACACTGCCCAGCTCCTTAGGGCATGAAAAAGGATCCGTCCGTTCAAGCACCGTCTGGGGAATATCTCCACATGCACTGCTCCACACACACTGCACCACACGGACTGCCTCAGATAAATCGCACCACACTGATTGCATCATATTCCTATTGGAACATGTGTGCTGCACCACGTCGACTGCACAGCACGAATTGCACCACACTGCATCACAGAGGCTGCACTGCATAGATTGCTAGAAATACACTGTTTGGCGACCACGCTGATTAACATGAAAAAGTGCGAGGTCCTCGCGCTGTCGAGCTTCTTATCCCACACAATGGCTCACGAGGCTCAGGATTGCTCCAAGACGGCCCAGGAGACCCTTACGACGGCCCAAGAGGCTCTCAAGAGGGCCCCAAGACGTCCCAAGAGAGCCCAGAGACTGCCCAAGAGGGCTGCAAGAGGATGTCCCCTACCCCGAAGATGACACCCAACACCCCTGCCATGGGCCCCCATACGATATGGGTCCCCAAGACGCCTCGGCAGCCCCCAAGAGGCCCACACGAGACCTCCAAGAAGCCTCCGATAGGCCCCCACATAATGGTCGAAAAAGGCCCAAAGCCAACCGCCAAGAAGCTTCCAAAGCTGACCGAGATGCATCTAGAGAGACACCAAAGAGGCTCCGGGACACGCCCATTACGTTAGGAGCTCGACCACAAGAAACCTTCCACAAGAAACCCAACCCTGAGACCCCGGGACAACAATGGATTGTTTGTGGGAACGTCACGCTCTCCGTAGCAAAACCATCGAAGCCCAAGAAACCCAGGGCACCTGGGAGGCAAGCAGTGTGCTTCTTGGCAGGGGTCTCCACTGTAGGGGACGAGGAGAAGTAGGAGGAGAAGGGGGAGGAGGAGGAGGCGGCGGCGGCGGCGGCGGCGAAACGGTGTCGGGCCGAAGGTCGATCATATTCGACTTAGGGAGGAGGAGGAGGAGGAGGAGGAGGAGGATAGGATAGGATAGGATAGGACTC